GGTTCTACTCTGAGCTCCTCCCGGGTGACCGAGCTCCTCACCCTATCTCTAAGGGTGCGCCCCGCCGCCCTGCGGAGGAAGCTCATTTCAGCCGCCTGTATCTGGGATCTTGCCCTTTCGGTCATGACCCAAAGCTCCCATCTCCATAGGTGAGAGCAGGACCATAGATTGACCGGTAAATCCAGAGCTTCACCTTGCAGCTCAGCTCCTTCTTCACCATGACAGACAGGTACATCAACCGCATTACTGCAGAAGCTGCACCGATCCGCCTGTCAATCTCCCGTTCCATCAATCCCTCACTCGTGAACAAGACCCCAAGATACTTGAACTCCTCCACTTGAGGCAGGAACTCTCCACCAACCCGAAGGGAACAAGCCACCCTTTTCCGATTGAGAACCATGGCCTTGGACTTGGAGGTGCTGATTCTCATCCCAGCCGCTTCACACACAGCTGCAAACCGTCCCAGTGCACGCTGGAGGTCCTGGTTTGATGGAGCCAACAGGACAACATGATCCGCAAAAAGCAGAGACGAGAGACGACGTTTGTAACACTACCTCCATTCTCTATTGGAACATTATGTAGTGTGCAGCAGTGATCATAAGCATTTTGCACTAGTTGATCTAGAATATGAGGCTCACCAAAGCCCACACATTCTCAAGCTGGTTCTGTTTTATAAAGGGAAATTTGCATGAGGGATGTATGTGCACAGTTTTATGAAGCTATGTTTTTGCTGTAGCTTTTCCTGGCTTTGCACACATGCACACTTTGGCACGGATCCTGCACACTGCTCTGTAAATTAGGGACCTGAACTGTAAATAGGCTGGATGCTGGCCCTTGCCACTCTTCTCATTAAATAAAGCAGATTCTGATTCATTACTCTGAGAAGTATTATATGAGTGCACAAGCACAGAATGTCAAAATGTTCTAACTGATCTTTATGCCAGGATCAGTCCATGTGAAGTTTTTGCCTATTGAGATGATGATTGTGCCAGGAAAGGTCAGCAGCTGCTTGAACATGAAGTGACGCCCTCATTGCTGTCACCTTTAGAGTCCCAAAGAAGTGAAATTACCCAGTCGTTTATAATTCAATTCCATTTTATCTGTATAGCAACAAATCGTAGCAAAGATCATCCCAGGGCACTTTAAATGGTAAGGTCTATATCACTTATCCTGATGAGGGTCGCAGGGCGGCTAGAGCCAATCCCAGCTGATTTTGGGCAAGAGGCGGGGTCCACCCTGGAAAGGTCGCCAGCTATTCAAAGGGCTAGTACTACTATTGTTATTTAGAAAACCCCAGCAAATCCCCCTTGAGTAGCATTTGTCAACAGGGGGGAAGAAAACCTCCCTTTAATGGAAGAAACCTCTGATAGACCCAGGCTCTTGGTGGGCGGCCTTCTGCCTTGAGTGGTTGGAGCGACAGGAGGCATTGTGTGTGGAGTCATTCAAGTTCCTGGTTACCAGCATATCCAGGAACCTGAAGTAGGACATGGGCATGGGCTCTAACATCAAGAGAGCACAGCTGAGGATGTTCTTTCTGTGGTAGCTCAAGAAATACAATCCACCACAGGCCCTGATGATCCGGTTCTACACAGTGATCGAGTCCATCCTCACCTCATCAATCATCATCTGGTTTGAGTCCTCCATCGCACAGGAATTGGCCAAATTCCAAGGCGTAGTCAGAACAGTGGAAGGGATCAGTGGCTGTAGTAGAACTACAGCAGCAGGGTCACAAAGCCCACTGGAAAGATTGTTGCTGATTCATCTCATCCTGCCTCTTCCATCTACTCCCATCTGAAAGAAGATTCACTGTCACTGAGACCAGCAAAAAAAGACATGCCAACAGTTTCTTTTACATATTAACTGCAGCACTCCTTCTGCACCTTAAGCAAAAACCACACACTATAACCAAAAATATCAAGATCCTTTATTGTAGCCCTTTTTATTTATTCTAATATATCTTTGCAAAATAGTATAAGTCAATATAACTTAATAATATATTGTTAATAACCATACAGGAAATGATAAGTATCCTCAAACTTTGCTCATGGGCCTACCCAAAACACACCCCAAACTCTTGGCCTCTCCACCGGCTTTTAGATCCACTCTTTTAGCTTATTACATGTATTGTAGTTTCACTTTTACTGATTTCTTACTTTCTCTTAAATACTTCTAAATAATAGTACCTACCCAGGAAGCTTTCAAATGCTATCTTGGTCGTCGTTTACTCCCAGCAACCGCGTGTGACATCCACTCTGTTACCGTGAGACTCCACACTGAATGTTTTTGTTATTCTGATTCTTAGTGGCTCTGGCATTTTACAGCATCCTTATCAACCGGGTATTATTTAGACTGTTCTGGTAACAGCAAGGTTACTGTCTACTGTGCCCCCTGATGAAAATAAAATATACATTAATGTCAAAATAAGCCTCGTGATTTTAGATATCAATCATTTAACATGGGATGAATTTTGGATCAATATTTCAGGATCAATCCACACATCACTACTGTGGAGGTGACCTCCTGACAGCAAGAAAAGATTTTTGTTGTTGTTTTAGGAAACAACATGAAATAGTTGAAGAGAACAGGGTGTGCAGCTGTTCAACAACATTTCACAGACATGGTGCACAAAACGAATCTCCCTCTGGCACATGGGCAGTCAGCGCACTCGCAGTGTGGACAGTGGACTCAGAGTTCAGGCTGCACCTGGATGTCCGCACAGGGTCAGCGCAGACCCTCAGGGAGTTTGGCAGATGACAAAATTTACATTATGTGGACACGGAAAATATGAAAAACCTTAAATACTTTTCACAGTAAGTATCCCCAACAAACCTCCTGTGTGGTGAACAGGTGGCTGGTGCTTCAGGAACATACCACAAATGGTTTACTGGTTAAAGGTCAAGGTCAAAATGTTTATTTGTCATATGCACAATTAGGAAATGTGTTTCCCTGTACAATGAAATTCTTACTTTGCCGTCCACATGAATGCCACAAAATACAAATGAAATATAAAGTAGATAAATAAGTAACACAAAATCTAAGGCACTTTAAATATACGCAGTCTGTCTACTGACAGTTTTATTATTTGAAACTATAGCTACTAACATTTTTATGCTATTAAATGTTGGCACACATAGATTTTGTCTGCTGGGAAGTAACAGAAGCCAGAGGGTAGGGAGGTGAACAGTC